TGTAACCGATGCCAGGTATCATTTCATCTTGGTGTTCACTTTTCCCTGGTTCAGAAATTGCCTAGCATTATGTACCCCCTTTCCCCAGCTGCGTTGGCCTTACCAAAGGGGGTAAACTCTGCACTTAAATCTACGCGGCCAGTGTGCCTACCTACGGAGCGGATCACTGCACATTTGTGGTGAAAATGTGTCACTAAGGGGGTAAGCGGTAAACCGTAAGGGGTGAGCGGTCGTCTTATGTTTACTTATTTTACCCATTAGCACGTGACAGCAATTTGTCCCACAACGGGACTTCCAGAATAGCGCCAATCAAATGTGAGTTTCTTCCTACTTCTTCACACCTTCGAAGAGGGAAAAAAAAAAATGAAATCATTTCCATACGTCCTATATACCTCTATCCTCTGTAGCGTAATCACTGTGATAAACCTTTTCCACCTCCCACTTGTGCATCTGCTTCATGATCTGACAATTCTTAGTGTGTTTAGAAGGAGCGCCACTCCGTCTGAATGGGATGAACGCATAGGGTGGACTGAATTTAACCCTTCCCATTTGTTCCGCCTCTTGTTTTTAAAAAATTGGCTAACGATACCACGGCGGAAGTCGTCCTCCCCATTTGGTGGTACCCCGGAGGAAGAAGGTGGAGAAGATGTTGCAACTCTTTTCAACAAGGTTGCCCCCCTTCTGGGGAACATTGCAGCTGTGTGGAAAACCATCCAGAAAAAAAGTCTCCACACTGAGTGGAGATTTCCTTCCAGTGAAGAGTTGAGACCCCAGGGAGGCTGCAAAAACGTTTACGCATTTGTTGGAAAAATCTGCAAATATGTCTGTTTGTTGTACGAGGGCGTGAGAGCCTCTGTCTGTGGGTTGTCACGTTTGGAATTGGAGAGGCCGAGTGGTTGCGGTCTATTCGGTGTGACCTTTGCCCACGCGAGGGGTATGGAGGAGCACCCCGCAGGGAAGAATCGGGAAGAAGGGAAGTATAACCGTTGCTCAGGTGAAGACTCCCCCGTTGTAGAGCCCCCCCGCGATGGATCCGCCAAGTGCCGAGACCTCCTGAACGACAAGTACCTCCTGACGAAGAAGATAAAGGACGCGTTCCGAAAAACGAGAAGGAGCAGCCTGCACAAACTGGATGTCATCTTGATGCCTCGTGCCTCACTGGAGCATGGAGTGAAAGGCGAACAAACCTGTACAAATTGCATGGTAAACGCCGATAAGTCGCTCTACGCGTTGCGGTTAAGAAGTGATAACTTCGGGGAAGGACCCCCCAAATCGATTTACGGGTCCAACTCATCAGATGTACAGATGTACTATGACTATGATTACGAGCGGGAGGAGCACATCCAGGATATTCCCTCCAATGCGGTGGAAGGAGGAGAAATTGGAAAAGATCGACAGCAGAGCGAAGGGAAATTGTCCCCACCGATGGCGTGGCTAAAGGGAACATACAAAATGATCGATTTTGCAAAGAGGTTATTCCTCAGCCATGTGGAGGAAGCGGATTCCGAGCTGAAAAGAGACATAAAGCGATACGATCCGAAGAAGCTAAACTATACAGTAAAGGAAAAAATGGGAACCGGAGCATTTGGAGAAATCTGGTACGCAATAAATATGAAGAAGGATTCTCCATTCAAAGATGTCGTGTTAAAGAAAATCCTAATTCATCAGGATGAACAATCATCGGAGGCAAGTGCAAAGAGAGAGATCCACTTTGGGGAGCTTCTAAAAAATTGCCCAAATGTAAGTCGCTTTATTGAATTCTTTACCGAATATGAAAGGGGAAGTGAATCAGAGGAGACCAAGTATGTGTGGCTGGTTTTTGCAAATGAAGGGTACTCCTTAGCCAATCATCTATTCCATGTAGACAAAGATAAGGGAGGGATGTTAACCCCAAGTAGGTTATGGTGGAGTATAAAGAAGCAAAGCATTGGCATGCTAGTACTGAAAGATTTAATGCGCCAGATTTTAAAAGGAGTTAACAGTGCACATAAGAGGGGGATCACTCATAGGGATATAAAAATGGAAAACATTTTCGTTTCCGCAAGTACCCCCTTCACTGTTCGTATTGGTGACTGGGGTAGTGCAGTAGAGTATAACAATGATGACTCTTTATATCCTCCTTCAGAAAATGAAGAAACAGAAGGGTACCAACCACCCGAATCGCTATTTGGTCATATGAAAAGGAACTTTAAACGTTTACCCTATTATGATATGTGGGGTATAGGTATCGTATTTCTCCAATTCGTCTTGGGCACGAAAAATCCTCTAGAGGTTAAAAATAAAAGGAATGAAATGAAACTGCATAGTTTCTACGCCAAGTATGCAACCCCGGAGGCATTAAAAGAGGCCATCTTTCTGCAAAGTCTTTCCGAGTTGTGTCTAATGCCCTGGAATGCCTCTTCAAACAAAGTGATTTCCCTCAAACGGGAAAGACTGCCTCATTCGTCCATTTATAAAAACAACAACATTTTGAATACGTTGCATTATTTTCTCTCCTTCAATTTGGTTCATTTAAAGAACTACACATTGAGCAACTGGCGGAGTAGTTACCTTGCCAACACATACAACTCTCAGGTCCCCTTCTTCCGGGATTCCTCTCCTCTCTGTGCGGATGCCAACTATCTGCAGTTGTACGACCCTGGTCTGGCACCCCTTCCCAGTTTTAGTGGCCACTCCGGGGAAGCTCCCTACGAGAATGTCATCGTCACGGATTTGCACCACTTAGAGGGGCACACATGTGTGCACTGCGAGAATAACGTACAGATGAGTAAAGGAGCGCAGATGAGCAAAGCCGCGAAGATGGGAAGAGCCCCCCGGATGAACCAAATGATGTACCAACACTCTCGCGCGCACGCGCTGCTTGCCCCCCCCTGCGACGACGAGCAGTTTCAGCGGATCCTGAAGGAGAGAGACCCTTCGGGCGTGGGGCTCCCTAACGCCAACGCGAGAGACCTGCTCCGGCGCTTGCTCACCTTTGACTACTCCAAGCGGATTACTGCCGAGGAGGCTCTTAACCATCCCTGGTTCACCGAGCCGTAGAGCCACCCACAGCTCGCGCACCATTTTTTGTTCACCTGTACTCTTTTGCATCCTCTGTTTGTTCCCTCTTTTTTTTTTTTTTTTTTTTGTGACACCCCCCCCGCGAAGATCCCCCCCTTCCGCGCGAACCAGTCCCGCGTCCACTGCAAATGATCGGTTGCATGATCATGTGGACAGATTTATCCCCCCACAGGAGTGTCCCTCCCTTTTGTGGGCGACTCCACTTGTTGATTTTTTAAATGGACAAATTGGAAACTATAAAAACAAGTAAAATTAGAAACCTGTGTTTTTGTATAATCGGTTGGGTGACAATCGAACCTTTTTTTTTTTTTTTTTTTTTTTATTTTTACGAACCCCCCCCGCATGGTGTATCTACATGTAGACACGGTTAGGACGATAATGAGGGTATAGTTCAGGCACATGGGGGGGGTGCCGCCGGGATGGGGCCCTCACGGAAGTGCATATTCCTCTGCAAAGAACACTGTGCACATTGTTTACCTCCTTTCTCCTTGAAATTGTTAATTTATTAAAAAATGAATTGAGAAAAGGCAAAACATGGCAGTAGCGGAAGCAACTGCAGAGGTACCCATTGCACGTGTGCATAAAAAAGCAACTGTCTTGTGAACTCGAAGAGGAAGGGGACAAAATAGTTCCACATTGGCTCAACAGTTCAACTGCTCTTTCGTTCAATCGAGCCCACTTGTTTGTTTTTTTTGTTTTTTTTTCTTTATGTGACAAGTTAACTGTCCCCTCTGACTTTCAACAATTCAGCCGTTCCTTCTGCCACTTTCTCGAAATGAATCTGCTTGTCCTTTTGAGTTGCCTCTTTTCCCTAGGAGTGCAAAAATATTCACATGCCTATGCCCCGCTGAGCGGCAAAAGAGTCCCCTTTACATTTTCGGGGGACGTCCGTTTGAGTGACCCAAATGGGGGGAGCAACATAGAAAGTCAGTCGTCCAGTGCAAAAGACAGAGGGGATCCTTTTCAAAATTATGAACATGACACGAAGGAGGAAGACAAAAAGGTCGATGTATCCAACGCAAGTGTAATAGGTATGAATTGTTCCCCCTTTAAAAAAAGATAAAAAAAAAATTCTGCTCTGTATCTTCTAATTCGTTGAAGGGGGCACAAAATGGGCTGCATCTTTCGGGTCGAACTTGAATGCGTGTCCCCTCCACCAAAGAGGTTGCTCCACTAAAGAGCTTGCTCCACGAAGGAGAAAATAAAAAGGAAGACAAACACACCCATTGCATGTAACTCATAGCAGACACAAAAAAAATAAAAAAATATGCTGAATCATACTTGTAAAAATGGCATAGCGGAATCACAATTGCGGGAGAGTTAACCTTCCAGCCACATAAAATAGAATCACCTGTCGAGGAAACCCCCATCGCATAGTCCCCATTGAATATTCCCCCTCAAATTGCGCGGAATAAATTATAAACGCCCCCCCCTTTTTGCATCCTCTTCTTCCTTGCATACTAACAACCCCGCATAGATTCAATGCACAAAGCGAATGACGCAGTTAAGAAGAAGTACAGCCTGGAGGGCTTGCCAGGATCCGGACTGAGTCAAGTAGACATGAAAAAATGGCGACCCAATTAATTTCCCCTTGGCTAATAAACTACACCACATGCGTTACTACTGTAAGGCTCGTTCAGGAGGATGAAGAAGAGGCCAGAGAAGACAGTAACTTCTTGTCCGACGATTTGGAGGAAGCGGCTCAGAATTTTGCGGCAGCCCAGGATAAGGTAGCAGAGAAAAGACGGAGGAGAAAATACATACAAAGCGGTAGGGGCTCTTTCCTACGATTGTTAAATAGAACAAGGGAAGAGCCCACTCTCACCTCCTCTTCTCTCTTCTGCGCCTAGGTTAACATTACCCACTTCCCACGTGGAACAACTTCTTCCTTCAGGGGGCCGACCAAACCGAAGAGGACGAAACCAATGTGAGGAAATACCAAGCGGAGGTCATCAACGCCATGAGTCAGGATACGCCTTACAAAAAGTTTGATGCGGGAGAGTTGGAAAAAATGGAGCAGGTAAAATGGCGAAATGGTGCAATAGCGAGATGGTGCAATAGCGAGATGGTACAATAGCGAAATGGGTACTTCCAGTAGACACTCCTTTTTCCATCCCCTGTTTTGTGAGGTGGTCCCATCTCCGAGCTCGTTTGCTACCCTTCTGAGTAATGTTTAAATGCCTTCCCTTTTTTTTCTCTATTTCTTCTCCTTTTTTTCACCCTTCGAGGCGATGGAGGGCTCGGATGAAGTACCACTCACACGAAATGTGCCATATTAAGAAACGATTTTCTCTGCTCCCCGGTTTCTATGTCCTTTCACATGCCGACTTGTGCTCTCTATATATTTGATTTTTCTTTTTTTTTGGGGGGGGCCTTTTTTCTTTCCCCTTTCCACTTGCCAGATGTGTCTCCAAGATTTTTCTTTTCCCTGCCCGCTTCAATTCTTCCGAACCAGTTCCGGATGCGTCCCGTTGAGTTCATATGAAGGGCCATGCCGCAAGGTGCGTCTCTCCCGATCGCGTTGCAGGGATGACTCTGTTTTCCGCAGATGATATTCCCACCATCACTACCTTTATCATCGCCTCCCCACCCAGGTGCAAGACAAGCTTCTTCACTTGTATGATCACCAGAAGGAGAGTTGGGGCGAGATCTGTGATGCCACCTGGCCCTGCTTACCCAAGACGTGCCCCTATGGGACAGACTACGATGCGTTGTGTCCAATAGGCTGGACTGACATAGGAAAAGGAACCTGCGCTCGCGTGGGTACAAGTGAAAGTGCAATCGCAAGTGCAAGCGGAAGCGCCAATACAAATGCAACGTGTGAGGGAAGTATAAACTTCTCTAATCTATCCATTGAGAAGAAGAAAAAAATGCAAGAAAAATGCGGCATCAGGTGGAGATGCAAATCCGTCACGTTCGAAACGAACTTCGATGATATGTGCCCCCTCAATTGGAAACAAATTGGCCAACACAGATGCAAAGCACCGACCGATTATGACGGGCCCTGTCCAGAAATCGCTAATTTGAAAAAATACAAATCTGAGGAAGGAAAAAGAAGCATCGAAAATGTCTGCCTCGTCAATTGGCCCTACACCGTTACGATAAATGAGTACCAAAGGGATTACTCCGCCCCGTGCCCCATGTAAGGAGCGATCGATGAGGCGAGCAATGAATCGAGTCATTGAGAAAGAGACATCGCCACATAGAAAATCAAAGTTTCTGCCGTGTGTCACGCCAGGACCGAAATATGCACAGTATACATTTTTTCCCTTTGTTTCCCCTTTTTTTTCGTTTCTTACGGAACGCCGCCTCATGCCCAGTGGATGGTCCCCGATGGACAATGGACTATGTCTGGCCCCAGAGAATTACCGGAAAAGCGCCAAGTGCAGCGACGAAGTTTTATTCGCTGCAATGAGTTCGCAGCAGAAGGAGTCCCACTCCATCGCGTGTGAGGTGGATTTCCCCTTCAAAGGTAATCCCTCGATCGAAAAAACAATAAAAAAAAATACAAAGCTGAAAAAATTGCATATAGGGATCTCAACATGGGGGGAGCCCCACATGCTACTTCTCCCATCTGACGAGGTAACAGGCTTTTGCAAAACTGTGTGCAGTGTACACATGTACATTCTTTTTTTTTTTTTTTTTTAATCCACCGCTTCCTCATTGTGCAGAGAGGGACCACTGCTTGCGCAATTACTCCTTGGCGTGTCCCCTAGGTTGGGTGCCTTCCATGAAAAGGGGCTATTGCAAAGCCCCAGTTAGCTACAAGAGCAAAATATGCAAAGGATACTACAAATTTGAAAACGTTTCGGACAGTCAGAGAAATTACTTCCTAAATTTTTGTGCCATTGACTGGCCCTGCGAAGGGGAGATCCAGAACTCAGGGGTGAGGGACACACCACAGGACTGCTTAAACGGACATGTGCATATATATGTAGAGAAAAGTGCCTCTACGTGTGCACTGTATATTTCTCTTCCCCCGGAGTAACTTCCCTTTCAACATATCTCCTTCTCAGATTTACATGCGACTTCCCGTCGGGCATTCGACTAAACGACCGGAAAATAGGCCCAGAGGTAAGGACGCAGAAGGCGCATTGGGGATAACCCCTTCAGAGCAACACACGCATGTGCGCGTGGACACCAATTTTGATGTCTCCCCCTCACGGTTGCCTTTTGCCCAAATCCCGTACTGCTTCTTCAGGCCCGGTGGACTCTGCAACGGGAGCAATTATTTAGCGAGAGTGTTACGTGTCCACGTTTGTTATTCGGATGGGGGGAAAAAACCAACCAATTGTTTAGTGGTAGAGTGGGCATATGCCAATCTGATGTTTTTTTTTTCACGAAGGAAAACTCCTTTTGTAACATTTGTTCTGCTAATGTTGTTCACCAAAATGGGGGTAGTGCTGCCATCTTTTCAGTTGCAAAAAATGACCACTTGGAAAAATTATCATGCTACTTATATGTGACAATGGCTTGTAATTCGTGTGCATGTGGTTCCTTTGTTGGGATTTTTTTTTCTTTTTTATGATGAGCGCTTGTGGGGGGAAGTGCCTTTTTGGAGGAAAAGGCGAGTGGTGGGGGCACTTTTTTCCCTTTCCTCCGGAAGAGGTCGCATTGGCGCTTTGGGAGAAATTTTTAAAATGTCGACTCGCTTGGTCGCATAGCTCGGAAATTGCAAAAATGGGAAACGCGGAGAATTGCATCCAAAAGGGGGGAAATTGCTAAAAAGTCACAAAAAGGTGGTCCAAAAAATGGTGAAAAAAATGTGCAAAAATGTATCCAACAGCCGCTTGTTGGGGATATTTCCAAAAGATGATCGCCAAGAACGAAGGCAACTTTGTGCAGGAGAAAGAATTATGGAAATCGACTGGGGGGAAATGAAGTTCTCGCTGCGCAAAGTGATATTTTTTTCTTTTTTTTTCCCCATTTTGCGACCCGTCATCTTTTTGGCATACGGGAGCGCAAGCGCCTGAGCAATTTTTCGCGACGTGAACATATGAGCAAATTTCTGCCTCGAAAAAGGGGGCAAATGGAAATACGCAGAAAATAGGCAAGCGAAATGGACATTCAGATTTTTTTCCTTTTTTTTTTATCACGTTTTGTTATGCCTTAATGATTTGCAGTGCTTTTCGTGCTTTCCCATGCTGCTGCACTTTGCGCGCCCTTTTTGCAAAGCTTCCTAGTTGCTCCCGCCTTCTGCGAAAAAAGAAAATGGCCGTGACCTTTCGTCGATCTGTATTTGTTTCGCCAAAGAGGTAAAGTATATAATAGAGAAAAGAAGAAAAAAAAAAAATTGACATTTTCGTGATATTCTCAAAATGGCATAAAATAAATAACGGCTTCTTCCGTTTAGCAAATTATTGCTTCAGGGGCCAATTTCTACTTTTGTTTTTTCCTCAGTCTGGGGAACGGGCAGCAGCCAGCTGTGAGTTGTCACTTCGACACGGAAGGCTTATAGCCTTTTGTCGCCATTCTGCTGATGACTTTCCTGCCCATTCTTCCACCTCTTGTGCCTTCCCCCTGGGGCACTCTATACCCTGAGGGTGGAAAAGCGCATCCTGGCCCCCTGCCTGTGAATCCACCTGGGCTCTACCGTTACGGCGAGAAAGAGGCCAGACCGCCCACAAATTATATTCATCATCACCCAGCCGTAAGGATATCCCCATTTTCGAACACACCAACAGGAAAGTTTTGCCTGAACCGAATGGCACAGAATAAGCATAGTTAATTTTTGCTGCCTTCTTTTTTTTTTTTTTCATTACCATTGCATTCTGGCAAAGCTCTAAAGAGCACCCATGGGACAGTCACAAAAACACGGAGATGAACTGATGTAACGATAAATGGCTGCTCTGATTATGTCAGGCATTTTTTTTTTTTTTTCCTCATTAGTAGTAGTGTTTTTACACTCATAACGTGTGCATATGATCGCAACTATTTTAGCAACCTTGTAAAAAAGGAAAAAAAAAAAATAATTGGAACCTCTTCTGGGGCGGACATATGGATATATATTTTACACTGAAGAGTTTAGGTAAGGAAGTTAAAGAAGACGACAATGTACCGATGTATCACTCGAATGTGCACACGTAAAATACGTAATCGAGCAGGAAGTTTCTTCTTTTTTTCTTCTTTTCTTTTTTTCTTCTTTTCTTTTTTGCTTCTTTTCTTTTTTTTCTTTTTTTTTTTTGTGTCCACTGGGGATAAAAACGTTTGAGCGATTTGTCAATTCCGGGGATATCAACAAACGAGCAGACGCCTCCCTGTTAGCGTGAGCCCTCGAAGAAGGTTCACTTGTTAAAGGGACACTTCCTTAGTAGGAGTTTTTACTCAAGCGGGTACCCCCGTATACGTGTCTGTGTGTGATTATCCTTCGAGAGGAAGGCTCACACGGTTGTCGCAGCGGCAGAGTTGCGCGTCACGGAGGTGGAAAAAATTGAAAAATTGAATACAAGTTAGTGGCGCAGGAGCGACGCCGAAACAGTAAGATAGCTAGACAGTAGCACAGCGGGTATAAATAGCTGCACAATAGCGCTGCGAGTACATAGCTGGACAACAACCCAGTTGGACGTTGAGCCAGCGGACAGCCACTCTTCCACCCTCCACTGAACACACACGGGCATAAAATGGAAAGCCAGGGCGACGTAGCGCACGCGTGCGGAGAGGAGCATGAGCGAATACCCCCAAGAAAGAAGTACAGCAATTTAGTGAAGATAAGCAAAAAGGAAATAGAAGGATGCGAAAATAAAAATGACCTGCTGTTAAAGAAGAAGGAAGAGAGGAGAGCTCTGGAGTCGTTCCCAGAGATGGTGGAGGAAACGCCTTCCCATGAGTTGAAGAAGCTCCGAGAAGGTATCTGCAACTTCGAAGATGGAGCAGACGACGTTATGATGAGCCTATACATGAGCAAAACGCCGTGCAAAAGATATCACGATGACATGATCTGTGAGAGTACCAACTATGTAAAGACGTATAGCAGCAAGAAGAGAATATACACGCCCAGGAAAGTGAACAAGGGAAATTTGTTCGAGTTCGAAAATGAGGAGAGCGGCAAAGCGTCCATGTTTACCACCCCAAAAAGGAAGTACACAAATAAGAGGAAGATTAATGAAATGTTGAAAGATCTTCATGGGGGTGAACTAGCCAACAGGAGTGTCACCAAAAAAAAAAAAAAAAAAAAAGTCCGTGTACGATGAGCTGGTCTACTTGTACACCCCCCGCAGGGACAGAAGCAAGTACGCCGCCAACGGGGTAGACGCTGCTAACCCGATGGACGCCACTCCCGCGGGAGAAAAGTGGCGAATGCAGGAGTCAAACATGCAGGAGCTGCCCGAGTACATAAAGAACGAGTACATCTCCTACCTGTGCAGCCCGTTGAAGCGAAGCGAGAGGCTGATAAAGTCGAGGATAAATAAAATGCTAAACGAAAATATAGGGTATGAGAAGCAAGCGAACTCGGAAGGTACAGAAAGAGACATGAATAGCAACAACACTACCAGCTACACGTCGAGCTACTCGGGAATATCAAAGAGTGAAGAAACCCTTTGCGACTTCGAACCAGAAGAAGAAGAAAAATGTTGGGATGATTACTACACACAAGGGAATGACAAGGTAAGGCCCTTCACCGGAATAACAACAGAGCTAGCTGTCGACATGATCACAGAATTGTTAAAATCTAAGATTAGGAAAATCGTTATTGACGAGAAGGAGTACTTTTCTCCCATTAGCGAAAATGACACCATTATGGAAGTAGGACATGGGAATCATCCACTTGCTGTACAGATGCATGAAAAGTGGGGGACGACTGGAAGGTACATAGGAGTGGAGTTCAGTGGATTGGCTAGCCAGGAAGCTTTAAAATGTGAAAAATTGAAAAAACTCTTTCTAACGAGAAAAGTTGAATTCGTCAAAGTACTAAGCATGAAGTATTTTAAAGACGATTATCTAAACGGCCTTGTAGTACAGTCCAACATTTCTCCCTGTAATGAGAAAGCAGATTTTGTAAAAATGAATACCTTTAAGTATATCTTTGCAAAGAGTACCTTGGATTATATTACTTGCCGAATGGATAATATTGGAAATAGTGGTGACTGGGAAGAGGATCTCCAGATATCTCCTTCTGTCGTGGACATGTTTGACAGCTTGGCAGACTCGTTACAGAATTGTAGAAGCAATAGCAACCGATGTAACTCCTGCATCATTTTTGTAGAGCCCAGCAATTCCTCCAAATTCCGGGATCATATTCTGACCATATTTAAGGCCATTTACACAGCCACGTTTAAGTACAGGAGTGCGGCAAAATTTCTCCGCCTCAGCAAAATTACCAATAATCCAAAGGCTTGTGGGTATATGATTGAGAAGAGGAATGAGGTGTATCGTGACTTTGAGGAAATCAGACAGGAGTTTCTCAAGCTCATCATTAAGGCATCTGTCACGAAGAACGTGGACGAGGTCGACTGGTACCTGCCTAATGAGGCCCCCAGAAAATGGATCAGCAGCAACCCCGCCGATATTGAGTACCTCGTCAAGCTGGATGGCAACAGCTTTTGAGCGCTGAAGCGGTGAATCGATGAGTCGATGAAGCGGCGTAACGGTGTGCGTGTCCTTTCCCTGCTTGACACTCCCCTCACACTCGCCTCTTCCTCACCACTTTCCTCTGCGCGAAGGAATCTAAGGGGATTTCTCCACAGAAGCATATCTTTTATTATGTACCTCCCGAATGGTTCCTCCCCCCTCACCAATCCAGATGCCACCTCCTCTCACTTGTCCCGTTCTTACTTCCCATCCCGCACTGCTATTTAAATTGGTAGTCGCCCCTTCCGCAGTTTCCAAAAATGGCGTATGCCGTACCGCAGGAGAGGGAGGAGATCCGTCGTCCCCATGAAGGGAGAATATCATTGTGTGGCTATATGCGTGTGCATGCCTGCGAAGTGGTCCAGCTTCGCACGACTGACGGTGACTCCCGTGGGTGCCGAATGTGTTTCCGTAAATGCGTTGCACCCGGGGAGTTGCACTTCATTCGGTTTTTGTTCATTTGGTTTGCTCCATTTATCGATTTATCCATTTATCGATTTATCCATTTATCGATTTATCCATTTATCGATTAATCCATTTAACCATTTTTTTTTTGTCGTTGTGCATGTCGTTAAGGAGCTGCGCCTGCACAGGTGGGGGGAGACATCGCCAAGTGGAGCAACGATATATTTATTTTAGCTAATTATTTTACCTAACTATTTTACCTAATTCTTTCACCCTTCGTGAAATGTGTAAAAATGGCACTTACGCGAAGTGGTTTCCGCAAATGGTGAGTCATAGAAAAAACGTTGCCTCCTCGTACCACTCATTTATTTTGACGCAAAAGTGGTTACAGCGTCAACACAGGCGGGGCTAAATCCATGGAGAGCCCACATGCACCACAGGTACTGCTCCTTGCTTGGCTTAACCAGACTTGGAACAAATTTAGCTGTCTGTTTGGCCAATTTTTAAAGTGCCTTCTCGCTAGGAACTTGTCAGTTGCAAATGTCGAAGCGGGACCCATTTGAGGAAACCTCTAGGTTATTTTTTTACACTCAATTTGGGGGGGGAAGAAGTGAATGGGAAGAGGAGATGCCGATTGACTAGTCCTCCCCATGAGGCGCTAATCGAAATGAATATACTTATGGGGTGTAGGCAAAAGGGCAATGTCCCTCATGTGCATCACGAATATGCAAAGTGGATTGCATGGATACCCTCACGATCGATCAAGTGAGCTTTTATTCTGATTTTCGCATTGGAGAATTTTTCGAAAAGAATTCTATTTGTACAAAATGGCCATCCCTGTTGGGGACCTTCTTAACATCGCATAGAAGTGATTTTTTTGTTTTGTTTTGTATCTTTTTTTTTTTTTTTGTGCCGCTGTACACCTTTTTAATTTTTACATCACCATAACGTTGCGGCTCTACCGAGAAAGGAAAGCAGAGGATGCCATTTCGCCGGAAGATTGCCAAATCGGAATATGTGACGAGGCCCCATTTGTTCATACCTCCAGTTCGTTTTTCCCCTTTTTTAGAAAATTTTAAAAAGGGAAATCGGGACCATCGCCCACATCATGTGTACAAGTCGGACAAAAGGAATCTCCTCTAACGCCGCTAACGCTACCAATGCTACCAACACTACCGACGATGCTGCTTTACCCCTTTGCGCCATTTGAAGAGAACTCCCTGACAGCAGCAGATGAAATTCTTGTATTCCCCTCCTCCCACTTCTATCCGTGTGAACCTTATATACATGCGTAGCGGCAACATAAGGGGGAGGGGGGACACGAATTGTGTGTGCGTATGTCCGTGTGTACCTATGTCCGTGGAGGGGAAGCACCCACCCGGACGTCCAACAGCGACTTGAATAACCGTTGGAGCTGTACCCACGAAACGCAGTTCCGTTCACGTGTAGAAATAATCTGAACATGTTTTCGTGTCAAACTAAGGGGAGAACGCTTCGAAATTTTTTAAGACTATTTCTTCGCGCCTTTCTTTTCTTTCCCGTCGTCTATGGCTTCACTGTTCCGCATGGGAGTCACAGGTAGGTGCACACTTCGCACGTCGAGTGGAATTGAGCGTGGAATTTCCATTCAAAATGCACCTTCGGGTGGTAATTACCACAAGCCGATGCGCACCTCGTTGTTCCCCCCCCCTTTCTCAGCCTAATTCCCAATGGTGGGTGGACAAAGCAAAGCAACCGATGGGGAGTGAACAAAATAAGCCCGAGTAAGATAAAGGAGAAAAAAAGTGGAACAAAAGTTTACTCCATAAAAATCACAAATTTGACAGAAAATCAAATCCCAGAGGAGTACTTTAAGTACAACCTTCCTCCCGAGCCGATGTAAGTGTCCATCCGGATGGTGAGTCTTTCCCTAAGGGGTTGTTGCTTCCCGGTTTGGTAGTATATCCCACATCTGTGTGTGTATAGTGTGCCTCTACGTATGACCAACTCGTGAGTATAATCTCTTCTACACCTTCTCTTATCTCATTGTACCGCATCTGCTAACTGCCCACTTTTGTATTGCTTTCTGTTTCGTGACTCTCCACTGGCAGATACCCCTACATCACCGTGCCGAATAATTTGTACACGAGGCAAACAAACGATGAGCAGCCCGATGAAGAGGACTCCCCAAGTGGAGGAAAAGACAAACTGGATGGTGAAAAATATCCCAAGAATGCAACAGAGGTAGGAAAAATGACCTCGGAAGAATTCTCCAAATGGAATGAAGAAGAAAGAAAAAAAATGAGAGCGTTGCCTGAACCAACCATTGAGGATTACATCGAGGATACGAATTTTAGCAAGTATGTCCATCCATGTTTGATTAAAAAGGTTTCTCCAAAGGATAGACAGAAAGTGCATCATTCCCTGTTGTCCCTTATCGACCCGAAAGTAGAATATTCCATCGTTGATTGCTTTGATGAGAATGACGAAGAAAATGACCTCACCGAATATGACGCAGCGTACAAGGGAATAGCACCTTGGCCCTCCACGGATGAACTGAGAAGGAATCAAAATGACTACCAGTTTGAGAAAACGGATCTCGAGGTGGAATACAACATAACGTATGACAAGGCGGGGTATCAGCAGTTCAGGGATAAGCTCCTTGCGGAGCGGCTGCGCGGTGGTGAAAAAGAGCCGAGTACAGAGGGGGAAGGAGCGAGTATCGGCGGGGAAGAAACCAAGACTTCCGGGGAAGAATCGAGTAGTGGTAGCAAACAACCAACCGATGGAGAACCTCTTGGCGACCAACCCAAGCCGACCGCCCCGCCACCTGTCTCCGTGGAAGACATAAGAAAGTTGTACTTCAAGAAGGAGATCAAAACGCTGAGGGAGGCGAAGGAAGAAATGGTCAAATGGGAAGAACGGAAAACGAATTCGAGGAGCACATGGACGTTGACGGAGGAAGAACTGAAGTTGCTTCCTGACAAGTTCAGGCAACTGTATCAGCAGAAGAGAAGGGAGAAGTTGGAGCAGATCAGCGAGGCCAAGCGCAGGGAGGAAGCGCGGCAGAGGGGGGAGCTGCAGGATGAGTTCTCCTTGTGGGATGAGAAGGGTCTATCCAGCATAGAGAAGTTGCGCGAAGAGGGGAGCGGCGAAAGCAGCGACGAGAGGAGTTCCCAGACGGACAGCGAAACCACCGCAGATGTGCGGCCTTACCAAGCGGAGCCTCCCCCAACGAGTACAGGCGACATTCTGCACAGTGTCAGATTACTCGAGGACAATGTACTATACACAAAGGCCAAATCGCCAGTGGAGAATATGTTATACGAGTGGGACGATTCGCTGAGCTGCAAATGGAGAAAGAGAGCTAAAGAAGTGATACGTGATGTCATCATGTATGATTATCCTATGAAAGAAGTGAGAAGACCATCCAAATTGGACCTTTACGATGTCACATGGTATGCCGGGAAGGTCGAAGTGTTTGTCACTCCAGACGAAACGCAGAGGAAAAATTACAAAATCACTTTATTTGACTTGAAGCAGCTAGTCAAGAAAATTGCAGAAAGGTTAAAAGAGCTTGAAATCGACGAAGAGATTATCATTTTGCCTTTTTATGAGTTAGTCGTTTCGTCTCTGCCTAGTAAAAACATCCTTGTGTGTAGGAGGGATTGGTGTAGTCATGCTGGGAAAGAAGTTACCGTTTTTTTTAAGGACAATATGTTTCCTCCTTTGGAAGGGATACTTCTAGGATCGCCTAGCGTCTTTCACTTAATTATAAATGTTAATTATGAGCGGATAGAGAATTTGGATGTTCATACCATCGATAAGGTGATCCTGAGAGATAGCAAGGATGAACTTCGGGGTCACATTGTGCTTAAGGCGGCAATGGAGAACAGACTGGTGGAAAAATCCGAGTCGGCTGGAGGGGCCCCAACTGCGGGTGACTCACCAAGGCAGAATTTACCTGCCCCGGAAGGAGACCCCGAAATTGGTGCACCTCTGGATGGTGACGATGAGGAAGAGGAACACCAAGAAGTGATGACCAGAAGGACAGGCTTCGATGAACTGCAGAAGTTGAAGGACATCGAGCGGGTGGGTGCTACTCCGCTTCGCACTAACCAGCTTCTCCCTAACGAACTTCTCCCCAGCCAGGTGCGTAGGGGCGAGGACGCCGACCCGGTTGGGGGTGCAAGCGGCGCGCGTACCGACCTGGACGGCATCAGCCGGGTAAGCGGCATTAACCGATTGGGCGACGATGACGACGTAGCCAGGATGCAGAAGCAGGCCCTCGAGGAGGACGAAGAGGAGACCGACGAGTATGAAGAAGACGAGTCCTACGACGACGTCGCGGATGGGGGGTACATATACGAAGGCGACGAGGATGGAGGTGGCTCCGAAGGGGGGAACATATATGAAGGCGACGAGGATGGAGGTGGCTCCGAAGGGGGGAACATATACGGAGTGGACGAGGATCGAGGTGGTTCCAACGGGGGAGACCTCTACCGAGGCGACGTGGATGATTACATGCCAGAGGAGTGAGCGTAACCGTCCCCATTGTTACCCCAGCAGGGGGCGAACTGAACGGAGAACTTCCACACAGGCATGTCAGAAGAGTGCCACAAAGGGTGGGGAAGGGTTCCCCCCGAGTCGAATTAGGTACTTCGGGAGGGTTGTCCTTGCCTCTTACGCTTGGGAATTTCTAAAGGTGAAAAGCGGGTTGCCAAAGGGGTGGAGGAAAAAACGTGCACAAGTGCATATGTGCATCCGTGCAGGAGCACACCCATGTGCATACGAATTTGCAAACGAAGGGCGGAACAAGGTGACACAAGGCTACATCGCGGCACGAACGCGTTGGCGAGCAGTTCCACGCCATGGACTACGCAACGTAGCGGAAGGGAGGGCGCAGGCAGCGCAAAACGACATCCATCTTGCGCATAAAAACGCGGGCATTCTCCACGTGACAAAAGGAAGGGAGCTGCTGATAATACGCATCGCGCAGGAGGGAAAAGTACTTCTCATTGGACAAATAAAAATGCAAAAATTGCAAAAAAAAAGAATGCACACTCTTCCTTGATATTGTCGTGTTGGTAAAATTATATCGTATCAATATTTGAAAAAAAACAACAATCTGAAATGAGCAAAAAGAGGACATATAATAATTTGCACAAGTCAAAATGAAGTGAATATTATTGTAATGAATGAGATCTTCTTCTTCCCAGTGGTCAATAAAAATTTTGTATTTTTTTTTATTTTCATTTAAGGCTGTAAGTTCATTTCTTCGTTCGTATATTTCCCTTATTTCGTCTTTAATGATTTCCCAAATTTTATTTTCATCCATGGTGACCTTTTTAATTGCTTGCTGAAGGTCGAAGTATGGATGGATATCGAAATGGTTTCTCAACAAGTGCAGGTTGTTTTCGCTTAACGATAGTGTGTAGTTAATGTCTGGGTTACTTTGCTCACTTTTCGTGATGAAGCAAAAGGTTGTGACGCTGCCACTTGTGCGGCTTTCATTTCTTCCTATTTTATCCTCCATCTGTAGAATCGCATCGCCGTATTTGCAATTCGGAACGTATTTTGGCCTACCACTGTGGCTCTTCCTGGCAGGGCTCTCCTCACACGCATTATTAGTGTACTCACTTTGTATGGACTCTGCGCCTGAGGGGTCCTCCTCCCCCGTTGCTTCTTCCACACAGTGGGGAAACTTCGTCACTGCCATGTATTTCGAAAGGATGGTCTGCACAGACAGTGGAAGAGCTGCCGGGATTAGAGGTACACTTGTAGAGGATCTTCCCCCGAGGGCCTCCTCTATTTGCTTCGCGTAATTCCTCACAAAGAATGCCATCTCCTTTTGCAGCTCAGAACAAATTTCACTATACGTCGTCACGTCGTAAAATATGAGCACAACATTTTTGTACTTCCTTTTGTACTCCTCCAAATTGTAGAGGGGGAGGAGTGGCGAGATGTAGGTCGCCACCTTGGACCCCCCTTGGGGGGGCGTACATATCAGCAACACGTCGTTCGGCAGCTTGACCCCGTCGAGGGAGTAGTTCTTGGAGTACAGCTCGTGGGGGGGCGGAAGGGGGTCTGGAAAATGGTCAGCAGGTTCACCCGATAAGCCGCCCCCAAGCTCATCCGACAGACCACTGGACAAACCGCCCACCAAATGGCTTTTCGCTCCCCCCGCGCACGCGAGGGTTAACCATTTGTGCAGGTCGTGGAACAGACCCAGCGTCTCCGACTTGGCGCCATTCGAACAAATGATAAAAAAATTCTCATTCTTGTGAATCAAGTTGGTTAGCAAATTTTCATACAGGATGGACTGGATAACTTCTCCCCTTCCTGTGTCCTTTTCTCCAGAGATGCAGATCTTCTGTCCGTAATTTATCTTGTTAAAAAGGTCAATGAGTAGTAAATTGGTGTGCAGCTGCTTTATGGCTACCCTCCCATGGTAGGTCTCTTTCACCCTATCCCTAAATAGGTTTATTATCTGATTGGTTGGTTCCTTGGCTAGGAGGTAATTAAGGTACTCGAAAGGGGTATACACATTTGTTTGGGCCTTCTGTTCGGATACAAGTTTGGTGGTATATTCCTCTACCTTCGCTTTGCCCCCCTCCAAGGTGACATTCTTGACCCTACCCAGCACTACGCTGTGCTTATTAATTTGGAGCACCACCCCGTAGGAGGACTGATCTATCTTCACGACATTTCCGATTCTCTTCAGTTCGTCTCTCTCCTCATCCGTTATAATTATTTCCTCATCGCCAATCTGTCTGTTCCTTTGAGTCGATGATAGGGGGTACTCATTAAACACATTACTCAATTCTTCTTCGAATACGTTCGGTAGGGATCCATTTTGTGAATTCAGTTCAGTACGCGTGTGGATGGGCCTACCTCTGTCGCTGCTACGGGGGCCTCTTAAACAGCGCCACACGGGGGAGCGGAAGTTGGTACTGTAATGCTTCTTCGAGGGAGGATGCAGAATGATGTCTATGCATAGCGACTTGGGGCGAAGAAGCTGCTTTGTCTCTTTCAACGTTTTGATTATCATTTTGTTGGTAAAGGAGATGGGGGTGATGATGCACCATGACCAGCATATGCTCTATCGGAAAAGTGGAGCATACATGATTGGGCGGGAAAATTATTACATACACTTAATGTGTGCCGCTTGGTCCATCGCCATATCACCATGTCACCATTTTGGAGAAATAATCTGTTAGATGTAGCCTTGATGGGTATACAGTTTAATGGGTATACGGCTTGACAGGGTGAAGGGGAAGTCCACATCAGATGGAGCCCATTATAGTGATAGTGCCCTGCAATTGCTTTATCCGCTACTGCGTTTAAGAAGCTACTTCACACGTGACCTTAGGAATATATTTCCTGCTGTGGAAGGAAAAAAAAAAAAAAAAAGAAAAAAGTGCCCCATTACGCGTGCTTACAAAAAAGTAGTATCACTCTAGAGGAATTTCCCATCACGTCGTTTTGGGACTCCTCCGTTCATGCAATGATTTCCAATTTTTTTTTTTTTTTTTTCAAATTTCGTATTTACTAGGATAATGGGTGACCCGGCTGCTTTTATGCACCCCACAGCCAAGCGGAAAAGAACGGGGTGCACCACATTTAGTGCGTGAACTTCTCAATGGGGGGAACAATCTGCCAATTCGCCTCTCCACTGAAATGGATACCATTTGGTGAATGTACCACTGGGGCGAGGTCTCCCTAGGTGCAGCTCTTCATACGAAGGTACATATTATCACATGTGGTGACAGACGGGAGGCCCCTTTTCAACTCCGTATAGCCGTTACATACATGGACGAGAACACACCGCGGTTAGCCGTTAAGCATTCGTTGTAAAGTTCCCTCCATGAGAGTGGAGCACATGCAAAGGATCTAGACGTCTCCCCGACGATGCGTCTACTTTGGCGACAATATCGACACGCTGTTTAGCATATACCTGTGCACCATTTTTGAAAAAAAAAAAAAAAAAAAAAAATTCGACTCCACTTTTTCGTGTGCTGCGCTCATCATGCCAACCCGCGAGAGGTAAAAAAAAAGTGGAGAAAGAAACAAAAGCAAAGAAAAGGAATCATGACCAAGTGAGAGGATCCAGATGACTACTACCATCATCATCATAAACCGCTGCTACAGTGAAGCTCTAGCGGAATGTACCTAGAAGGGGGCAACCCAAACGGACTCGTGTCTCGACATAGTTAAGTAGTTTCACCCCCAATAAGAATAATAGCGCTGTAGGCTTTTACACTGGCGGAGTTTCTCTCCAAAGTGCCATGGGAAAAGGAAAATAAGAAAAGAAAAAAATAAAATAACTTGTACACCTTTTCTAGTGATGATTAAACGAGGGGAGAAAAAAAAAAAAATAAAACAGCCGCACTGCGAATAGAGGCTCTCCAAGTAGGCACTCTCCAGGTAGCCACTTTCCTCGTAGGATTTCCCCCGGTGACTGCTCCCCAAAATGAACGACGGACTCAACAAACTAACTTCCGTAGAGAGCGAGTACCTAGAGAAGAGCGGAAAAAAAAGAAGACAGAAATTTTTAACTCCACATGATGATGTCTGCGTTCACCAGGATGGAAACATTGAACGAAATTGCTTGTCCAGTGTCCAAGAGGAAATAAAACACAACGAAGAATTTACCCTCCCCCATGTTCATGTAAGTGATAGGAGGACAGGCGAAGGAGAAGATCCCTCCTGTGTAGATCCAAGTGAAAGCTCTCCCTTAGATCGAGAAGTGGAGGAAGAAGATTTTGAGACACTCGAAGTGATAAAGCAGCTCAGTTCCATTCGTATCGACTCAGACTCGGACAGATCCGTAGAGGGGGATAAGGTGGTTTGTAATAAAAAGGAAAAGACACCAAAAAAGCCGAACAAAAAAAAAAGGGGGAAAAACACAATTACATCCCTGTGGGATAATTCGGAAGTGGAATGCGTGGAGGATGCCATCGTGTACGACGAGTCGAGTAGGCCATTCACGTGCTTGTCCATGTGTGCTGCTTTTGCTCTGTCTCCGCCCCCGCTCCCTCGTGGGCAGCGCATTGTGGCGCCTTCTTCTGTCACGAAGGAGTAGCAAGAGAAAGGGAAAGAAATGCCGCTTAGTTGACCAGAACAGTGAGACTACTTGTAATGGGGCAGAATGACCAGATTGGCAATTTTTTTTTTTTTTTTTTTTTCTTCATTATTTTTTTCTTTTCTCAATAGAGGACACCGATTTCCCAGACCTGCTGCAACTCTTCGAGGAATACAACGAGAAGTATTTTTTTAACAAATTGAAGTCAGTGCAGGTGAAGTGGAGCAACAAAATGAAGTTATGCGCAGGAATTTGCATATTTAAGGTGCGTGCAGTTGGGGGTTTCACCACAACAGTGTAGTGCTCTGCGGCTGGTGATAATGTCGCTAGCGGTCCACGAATATGTCCATTTTAAATGCAGATCGCTGTCTCCACAGGGGAATGTTACCCATGGGGGTGTCTCTCCCTTCTGCGTTTCGCTTTTCCCCCCTTTTGGTCATTTCTTCTCACCTTTTGCATTTGCAGAAATCAGGCTACTGCTGCATTCGGCTATCCCTCCCCCTACTGAAGCTGCGGAAGATAAAGGAGTACCGGGTGGGCATGCAATCCTCGCGGGAGTGTAGTTATCGTGGAGGTGTAGTTTTCGTAGACGTGTAGTCCTCGCAGACATGCATAAATATATGTGTGTACTCGCCTGTGCTGGTCTAATTTACCCCCCTTCTAGTGTGACCCGTTTGGCGCGTAACACACAAAAATCCTCATTCCGTAGGAGACCCTACTTCATGAAATGATTCATGCGTTCCTCTTTCTAACGAGAAGCAATTCTCGACATGATGGCCACGGACCGGTGAGTGCTGTTTCCCTTTTGGCAGCGCGACTCGTTTTTTTTCTTTTTTTTTTTTTTTGCCCACCGTGACGAACCTGAAGAGAAGCGAGTAGAAGAAAAGACCTTACTTAGTTACATAGTTACTTTCTTTTTTGCTTTTTTTTTTTCCGACTTTTCCCTTGGCAGGAGTTCAAAAGGCACATGTACCGAATTAACAAAGCGACGGGGCTGTGCATTACGATATATCACAGCTTTCACAAGGAGGTGAACTTTTACAGGAACCATGTCTGGCGCTGCACGGTTAGGCAGGGGACAGTCACCTCGTCCGCATGGAGAAGAGGGGTCTACTTCTTCAGCTGAGCGAATGATTCAACCGGTTGCTTTATGAGAGACAGAATCTCTAATGTAGCAGAATGGCCTCTGTCATCCCGACGACGTGATAAGTTTGCCAATTTTTTTTCCCCCTCTCAACAAAAAAGGGGGTCTGCAGAACTTACCCTCCCCACTTTGGGTACGTCAAAAGGTCTATGAATAGGCCTCCCGGGCCCAAGGAAAAGTGGTGTAAGTTGAGAAAAAAATGAAATGGGAAAAAGGGAGTCGCGCCATGGAGAAGAAGAAGCAGCGCTCTAAATGAGGAGAAGTGTTCACTCGCGTGTAGATATATCTGGCTATTTTCCCATCTTCCTATTTTTCCATCTGCCTCTCCATCTGTGTACTGATTCGTTTGTTTCCTTTTTCGACGCGCTGCCAAGGGAAAAGGCACTCCTCGTACTGCCGCGGCAAATTCGTTAAAGTGGAAAACACAGAAGCGGCTAAGAATTCAGACACGCCACATCTGAGCGTGACGGGGAACGACTCGGGCATACTGGGGAAGTCGAAGGACTCGACGCGCGCGAAGAATAAGAAGACAAGCGGTAACTCTGCGCGAAATTTGAAGTGAACACAGCAGGAAGGACTGCGCTGTTATACGCACGTGTGTGCTCAGCGCTACGGTCACCTCCATACTCACCGCTACACCCCCGCAGCGAAAGATGGCTTCGAAAAAAGGACAGACACTGTAGAAACTGAAATGCTGAACGACGCCATAGTCATTTTGGACTCGAAGGAACAAATTCCGGTGAAGCAAAAAGAGGTGGAACAACTGGACATCATTAATTTAATAAAAACACTCTTTAGAGACAACAAGCAGAAGGTGTGGTCCTTCCCGGATTTGTCTGTTGACTACCACAAGGCGTTTAAAAATGAAAACTACTTTGAGATAGACTAACTGGAGGGGAGGATACAACGGGGCCTACTTGGCATGTCACCCCTGTTTTGCCCTAAAAAAGACTGGTTACGTGTGAAGATGCCGAACTGGACATATGTGTGTATATAGTTACACCCGTAAGGGGGGAGCCATATGCTCCTCACTCAATGGAAGTATCCCCTCCACTGCGACCAATCACACCTATTTTGAAAACTTTTTAATTCTTGTGCGTGTGCAATCGTACGTTTGCTTCTACGAACACGCGATGATTAGCGGACGGGGGGGAGAGGAAGAGAGTGACGTTGCTCTCCCCCCACCCCTTTTACCAATTTGGAACAACGTATTTTTTTGTGACCTTTTAAAACAGCAGCAAATCCGCTATTCGATGATTTAACATCTGCTCAGTTTTGTCTTTTCACGTTTTCGTTTTCGTTCTTGGTGGGCGCGGTTATGCACGGAACGTAGTCGGGGCAAGATGCATGGATAACGCAAATGTTGTCATAAAATGGGCACACATTTGTGACGTAGGTTGATGCACTTGTCGTTTGTTTGCGTCGTCGAAACCGCGTAGCAACCGCTTAGCAACCGCTAAACAGCCGCTACACATGCGGATCACTTCCAGACCTTGCGGTCAACGAGAGGGCGCGCACCAACGGACTCCTTCGAGCACCAGTAGTCTTCCACAATCTGCTTATCGGCACTATTGTTGACATTCAACTTTTTAAACACGTGGTATTCGAAAGACGGGTGATCCTTCATCTCGAAAGGAATTTCGGTACCCCTGAATAGCCACACCCCTTCGATATCATAGTCCTTGTTTTCACCCAACACCGTGATAACAGCAAAGGAGTATTTGGAAAAATTGTTGTCCAGCCTTTGCAAAAAACCACCAGCCATATTACAAGCGACGAAAGATATTTGACATTCATCTTCTAACTTGTCATATTTCATATAATATAAAGAAAAGCCATTAGCATCATATGTTTTCCAGAAATGCGGCATGGCAACATTGAGGAGATCCTTTTCGTTACTAAATTTGTACTTCCACTCATCAAGAGAAAATGATGATGGGGGTAACAAATCGAGTGGGTTTGCTTTCTTCGTTTTCTTTTCAGTTGGTTCATCACTTAACAATTCACATTCATCATCCTCGTCATTTTTGTTGTCTTTCTTCTTGTTACTCTTATCTTTCTTTTTCTCATTGTTTGCATTTTTCTGCACATTTTTGTCTTGCGCACCTGCCTTTTTGCCTACCCCCTGCTGACTGGCAAACACGTACTTAAACTGCTTCTGGTTACTTATCGTGTTGTACAGTCGAAACAAGTTTCCATACTTTTTTAGGAAGCTCTCATCCATTTTATCGGACTTCATTGCAAAGTTTATAATAACACATATGAGGATGTCTGCTAGGGTTATCCCATTTCCCACCATAAACTGATTTAACAACAAATGATTATTCAAGCACGCAAATGTTTCTTCTATATGCTTTTGCGATTTTGCGTTTGACTTATTGCTAACGTAGCAACAGACTGGAATTTCCAATTCATAGGTATTAAAGTCTACCCACATGTTCACTTGTGCCTCCTCAAAAGCTCCCTTTCCCAATAAGTTGTTCTCCCTCCTTATGTTGCATAGGTATTTACTAATGGCATTACTTTCAAAAAGGCTTCCACTAGGGGTTACTAAAACGGGGAGTCTACCAAGGGGGGAGTAATTAAGGAACTCCTTCGTCTTGTCATCCTTCCCGATTTCGAACTGGGGAATGTTCAATTTGACGTTGCAGAACGAGGCAACGACTTGGACTTTCAGCCACCTGATGTCGTTCTTCGGGCCTAGTAGTTTCTAAGGGGGGGGGAAACGGGTAAAGAGAGTGACCAGGAGAGTGCTCCGGGAAAGAAGCATTGGTGAGCGGTTCGACTGTCCGCCCAAATGGGACATACTCCTATAACCCCGCGGGGAAAAGATACTTCCACAGCACATATGTTTATACCACCTTGCATACGTCGTGCGCTCGTGGTGGGATGGACAACGGGTGAAGTGCTTCGCGCCACCATTGCAGTGACAACTCTCTTTTTTATTAATCTTTTCCCCCTTTTTCTCATGTCAGCTGACACGCCACACTCTCGTTGCGTACGCCACTTGCGACGCGTCATGCGCAAATCCCTTTTGCTTTTGCTTCTTTTTTTTTTTTTTTTTTTTCTCTCCTTACGAAATCCATTTTCAGTTGCTCAGTTTTGCTATGGGAGGCGTGGTGGTCCTTCGGCAGGGCACAAACGTACGTATAGAAATACACGCAAGAAGGTAGGAATGTACGTAAAAATACGTTTATGCGAGTCTGTACAATAAATACAATGCTTATTATACAAACTTGGTTGCCTCGGCAAGTAATGGCCAAATTCGCGGGGACTCAGGGTCATGCTTCAAGTAAGAGTACTGATGAACTCTTTTTCTTTGTGAATATATACGGAGGGATACCAAACTGAGGGAGTTAACTGTTGTCAAAATATTTTTATCCTCTTTATCTTTTAAAAAATGATCAGTGGGTACGTTAATGTAGGCTCCTTATATGTTGAAAAAAAAAAAGAAATCTCAAAATAATGGGTGATCCGTCGCACAGTCGAGAGAACTTGTACTGTATGCGTAAATCTCCACTTGCGGAACAGGCACATTCCGTTATGGGTTCTTTTTTTTTTTTTTTTTTTTTTTTTGCCCTACTATGAAATTATTTATATTTTTTTTTTTCATATTGGCTTCCTTCATATGACTTCCCATTTTTTTCAAATTAGAATGGGACATTAATCATGGATACGTATGTTTATTACGTACTCTTCCCAAAGCCGTAAGGGTGGAATACTCAGCGGAAGGAGAACCCGTTCGCACATTTCCAAAGCAGCATATGATAAACGTGATGGTCTTACCTATATACGAATGTTTTGAAGTCATGTGGCGGGGCTAAAGATCTGGCGAAGTGAAATTGTGCAAGTGGTAGTAGCGTTGTATCTGGTGTGCCCTTTCGCTAAGCTTAACACTGGGGTAGAGAAGAGGTATGCCATAAACATATGCCCCATTACTCAATATGTACACATTATAACACCACCGAGTGATTCTTTCACAAAAAGGTCATCGTTGCATGTCCTTTCTTTTCCTTTCCTAGTTATGCAGTCCCATCGGTTGAGAGGAAAATTCCCAACAAGTGGGCTAGCCGTTCTTACCACTTTGTTAGCCAAATGGAATTTTTTTTTACCTAATCTGCTTAATAATTTTTTCTCCACAATTGTAACCCGTATGCAGAGGTCAAATTGTACGAATGCGAAAAATTGTGATGCCTCACCCCGGTCTGATCATAATAGACGAAAAAAGGAAAATCACACACACACGAAAAGGCCCGTTATGATGTTTCATCCCCTAACCATTATCACCATTCTTTACAAAAGGGTATGTGCAAATTGTTTACCGTTCAGGTGGATAGCCAAAAAAAAAAAAAAAACTTATGCGGCGTGCGTGGCTACCCCTCGTACATAGGCAACATCACATGGCGTTCGTTTCAAGGGTCTCCTGGGTGTGTGGCATATGGGGACAGCGCATTCGCATTATATTATATTACTTGTACTGATGGTTGGTCCCCTGTGCCTTTTAATGAAATGAAAATGAACAAAAAGGGTTAGATACACATGGGGTTTTTACCCCTGCCCATCGAAGTTGCTCGCGGGTCATACGCAAATGCAATTACTACATTGGCGGGACGACGCAATCGCGTTTTCCTTCAAAACAGAAGGTGTGCGGGGGAAAAAATCAACTACACCACTGCCTTTTCCTCCTCTTTGGCGGCAACTTTCAATGCTAACAATTGGGATAAACACCAGTCTTACACAGAATCATCATCAGTAATTCTCATTAAATGCAAAAGGGAAAAGAAAATTTCCTCCTTCACTTGCATACGCGCATTTACAGTCATACAGTTTGGTTCTCTTAATGTGTCTGAGTTACAGAAACTCGCGCATACTGTTGTGTATGCAAAGGGAGTGATCGACGGGGCGCAATTATCTATCGCAGGGCGGTCATGTGAACATATCTGAAGGCGACTTCCCACTCAGCTACTTAACGTAATATTGAGCGGGCCTATATATACCTTTGCACATACGCATCGATGGTAAGTTAACTGTAAGAGGGAAATTTTGTGAATACCCTTGAGGAAGTGAAAGGGCTATTACTTTTTCCAATTACCATGGAGAGGGGGGGTTCACATCCGTTCGAAGTATTACAACGTGGGCAATGACACGACGAAAGGGAGCAGCGGTTTTATTTTCTCTTTGGGAAGTAACATATCCAACTTGTACAGAAAGAAAAGTACAGATTGGAATTTCCCTTTTTGTTGAGAGGCCATTTTGTTAGCCGCCTACTTGGTGGTAAGTCACCTTTTGGAGTGCTTCCTTTAAAACCAGTCCCCCGTTGCAAACCCGACATGTGTTCACCATGGGGGAGGCAGCAAACTGCATACGTGTATTGCATAAATATTCATGCATATATATTATTTAGGTGCATATATTTACATAAATTTTTGTATATCCCCCCAGAAAAAAAAAATTCAGCGTAGAGTGGCCTCGTATGCGCGGTCGGCACAACATTCCAGCGTAGCAAAAGGCGAAATATAAAAAATAGGCTTATGGAAAAGTGCACATGGGCAAAATAAATAGGCCCAAGTGATAAATGGAAAGAAGCGCGGAAGGGATGTCGTGCAGTGCAATAAACAGTGCATATATATTATACGTATGTTATGGCAGTGCTGCGCTCCCCCCATATCTTGGTGGTTACCATTCTACGAACCGCTTCCGCGTTGGTTATGCTGCACCCCTGGCTACGCTTCTTTTTTCTTCCGCATGGATCACCTTCCTTGACAGGTTAGCAAAGTTTTACCCAATCCGCCAAAAAAAAAATAAAATAAAATAAAAAAACGTTCGTTTTTCTTCATAATAATATTGCTAACAAGTTTTATGCAGACGCTGTCGGGCTCACAAATGTACGTGCGAGAAACTGTAAATGGATGCGCCAAAGGGAAAAAGCACTTTGAAAGGTATATTTTAAGAAGCATCTCAAAAACGGATAAATAATATTTACATGCGTGTTTCACATCATCGAATATATTTTTTTATTTTATTTATTTATTTTTTTATTTTATTTTTTTTTTCCGTTCGCGAATTTGAACAAAGTACCCTCGACTGTACACGCGTATGCGTATATGTACCTCCCCCAATTCGTTCTTCGTGAACGTTGTGAAAGAGATCTGCTTTTGTCCACCTGCCGAGCGGCAACGCGTAGTATAGAACAAAAGAGCCTCGCAAAGTTATTTAAAAACCGTAACGATTTGCAGAATTGCTGCTCCAAATCTGCCCCTCCAACGGTGTCGCTGCAAACCCGCCGCTGCAAACCTGTTCATCTGACGTACGAAAGGAAAAATGGCTAAGGACAAGAAAGAAAAGGCGAAGAAGGCCGCGGGCGAAGAAACAGTCAAGTACTACAGAGTGAAGGGCAAAAAGAAAATTTTAATCCCAGTTAAGGCCAAGAAAACAATTGCGAAGAAATATTATGGAAGAAAATTAGCATCAAAAAAGAAATACATAGTGCAAGGGAAAATGAGAAAGTCGATCGAAGTTGGAAAAGTTGCAATTATATTGTCAGGGAGACATATGGGAAAAAGATGCATAATTACGAAGATATTACCCTCAGGGCTGTTAGCTGTCGTAGGTCCGTATGAAGTAAACGGGGTCCCTTTAAAGAGAGTTAACCCACGATATGTCGTAGTGACGTCCACGAACATTTTTAAGTTTGAAAATATGGCAGGCCTCAAGGATGAATTTATCAAGCTGGCCGAACAGATCAAAGATAGTTCTTTTGTTAAATCTTTGGATATAAAAAAAAAGCAAAAGAAACTTCTCAGCAAAAAGAGTGAAGGTCTCTTCATGAATGACGTGATTACAAAAATTAAGGAATTGATGAAGGAGGACCCTAAGATGAAGAACCTGCAAAAAATCCAGAAAGAAATTGACACCCTACTGAAAGATGAGATTGCCAAGAACAAAATCTTTGCAGAGTATTTGAAGTCGAAATTTACACTGAGAAACGACATGACTCTGCACAAGATGAAGTTCTGAGTGGCTCACCTGGGCACTCGCTAGGTGCGTCTGCGCGGGGCACATATATGTATCTGTATATATTTCCGTATGTGTATATACATACGTATGTGGAATTCCCTAATTGTTATGTTTTCTCTTTTTTTTTTTTTTTCCACCGTGCGCACACCCGATATCAACACCCGTCATTTTCCCCAACACACAATCACATCTACGTGCAAATTCATCTGAAGGTCTTTGTATTCGACTTATGCGTGCATTTTTTACCCGCAAGGTCGAGAAAAAGGACGACTTAAGAGGAGCACCAATAGGTAGTCCCGAAGAGGATGGCACCCCCTGGGTGTTCCTGAAGGAACGAGCTGGCCCTGCGCAAATGTGGACCCCTCCCAATCGCGCCACTTTTGAGAGGACTGTTCACACGGAGGAGAGCTAACCACATGTCCCTGCAGCTCGTCGCATTGCAACTCGTCGCACACAAATAGTGGGCATAATGACACCCCTTTCTGCCAAGTGCACTTCTGGCCAAGGTGAGCAACGGACCAGTGTCACTTCTTTGGAACGGATTCTGCCGCACATATCACTGGCAAGTGAAAAGGGGGCAACCCGCGGGTGGATCACTTTTTTGGTGGATCCCAAACAGTTAACCATTCGAGGGGCCATTCTTTACTTCCACTCTGCTTCAAAGTTCGCTAAGGCAAAATCGTTTCTCCTCTGCGCAGTTTCATAGGTGCTGGGGCACACCTACGTACACTCCTGTGCATATAACCCCCTGGTGCGCATACTTACATTATGGGGGGTACGCAGAGGAGGGGGGGGTTAAGGCAAAGGGGGGAAACACTTTTTTAAAAAAAAAGGGAAGGGAAAATAAAAATGCGTACACGCATGACGTCTATTAAAAATGCCAACACAAGTGCAGACAAGGAGCATCTGCGGTTGGACAAAACATAGGGCAGGGAAGCACATTTCACAACAAGTCGTTGTCGTCTCCAAGGTCTCCCTCCTCTGCCTGTGCCAGCTCCTCCTGTTGTCTCATCTTCCTTTCTTTCGCCTCCTCATTTTCCTTTTTTTCATTTTCGTCTGGATATTGCATCGCCTTAACCGCGTCTGAGTAAAGCTGCAAGCAGAAGGCTATTCTCTTGTGAAACGTCTTCATGGGATCACTTGTTATGTAGACGTCGCTGTTTGACTTGGATTCCACGTACTGGTTGTCGTAGTCGATGGTGGCTTCGATGACTCCGTCGTGGATGGCCTTGGCCGTTATGCCCACGATGTCCAGGGGGGACTCAACGCCGATCTTCTTCCCGATGTCGCTCTGTGGAGAAGCGATGAAATTAGAGAAGCGGTGAGAGTAGCGAGGCGGCAAATGGGAGGCGCGCTGCCAATCCGGGGGACGCCGCTAACCCAGGGGATGCCCCTAATCCGGGGCGGGCCACACTTACGATCGAAATCCGGGAGTAGGAAAGGTTGATGATGCGGAGGGCCGTCTTAATGACATTGTGGTGAATGCGCTTTATTAGGAGGTAGACACCGTCGCGCATGAACAGCTGGTTGTAGTCATTCATCACTTTGGAAAATTTGCCTATATCTCCATTTCGAACGGCCGTCACCACGTGCTTATAAGGGATCAGTTTGTTCCGCATAATTCGGTTGCTGAAGAGAGACCTATCTGGTATATCTCCCATGAGCAATTCAACTATGATCTCCATTTTGGTGGCTTCTAATTTGAACCCTTTTGCAATTTGGTTATTCTGTGGAGCTTTTCTAATAGCCTGCGTAATTTTGCTATGCGCCTCGCTGTAGTCTAACTGGATGGCTAGAATTTTGCCAATGTAGTACAGATACCTTGCATGCTGTGCATTTGATGAGGAGTTTTCCGGAAAGGACGTTTTGCTGACAAATTTTACAGCTAAGTCGTACAAATTGTGCTTTATATAATCCCTTAGGATTAAATTTAGGACAACTGTCTGAGTCATTATGTCTCTATGAAGACATGCATTACGATATATGTAGAGAAGTTTCTGTCTCACTTGAGATAGTTTTCCACCTAATTCATGAACCCATGAGAAATAAAAGTAGACCTTTGCATTCACACAGTCCAGCGATCTTCTGTTCAGTTTCGTGATTCTATTAACAATTACGGTGGAAAGATCCATTGCTTCATTGTAGCATTTTTTATCCAACAGGTACAGCAATATCATGATGTAAAAGAGCACTTCTATCTCTGGAGCTGCATGTGCGTATGTTTTGTCATTTATATTTGAAAACTCCGGTACTTCCTTCGGCAACTCTCTGAATTCTTCTAGGTACTTGGCTAATATTTCATAAATTGGGTAACCCTCCTTAAATGTCTTGTTAATCAGACTAATCATTATTGGCATCAGCGTGCTGCTCTCGTTTTTTATACTCAGTCGCATGCATTTGATATATTTTAGCATTCGCAGAATGTACCGATTGTCCTTGTAAACGATTGCGTTATTGATGTTGTTAATGCTCATTAGAAGGTTATTTACAAATACACTGGTTCCGTCTTTGGTCGTCGTCTCCTTAGCCTCCGCTGCGGCCTCAGCAGTGGCCTCCTCCTCCGCATACTCGACCTTCTTATGCTTCTCTTTCATGTCGGTGTGGGGCTATGCAGTTGTGTGGGCCAAACATAAGTATGTTATTAACTGCCCCTTTTGCTTTTTTTTTTTTTTTTTGAGATGGAGTCACCACATCGATAGACACGGATATTTTCGCTTAAAGGGAGTGGCAGGCCTGCGCGCAGTTTGTGCATTTGGCCATGTTTTACCTTCACATTTACGCTAATGTTAATTTTATTTTGCTTTTTTTTTTTTTTTTCTTTTGTCTCACTGGGTGGACCAGCACATATACGCACGAACAGGCGAGGGGCGATGGGAACGATCTACTGCAGCGCCGATCACCCGAAGGGCATCTTCCCTGGCGAATTTTTTTCTCCCTCTCCTTTAGCGCAATTACCAATTCAGTTGAGTACCTCTACTTGAGGGGTGCCCCTTCCGCTGGGTACCAACGTTGTGCACGTGCACGTAAAGGAAAAATTGTCACTAGTAAAAAAAAAAAAATAAAACGCAGCAAGGCCACTTGGTCAGTTGGAGTTACTTACACCTACACGTGAGTTACTCGCTCAGCGGAGATGCTTCCCCCTTATGCGCCCATGAGGAACTTCACCTGAGTGGAGGTCTAAACAACATGGCATTAAAAACTGAAAGGGTATAATACGTCGAAATGATTACACAGTGATTAACCTCTCGTTTGACAAAAAAAAAATTCCTTTACATTTGACAAGGGCGATTTGACAATCTGTGCAGGGGGAGAAGTATGCGGTGCACTTTACGATGACAAAGATGAGGAAGTGCCAGGGTAACGCAGCAGAGAAAAGGGATCTCACTTCCGAAATGGAAAAAAAAAAAAGAAGAAAAATACCTTACGTTTTTGCGACAAAATTGCGCCTCTCTCCCCTTTTGAAGGCCAAAAATGGGTCGCTTCGCAGGTTATCTTTTATTTTTATTCTTATTTTTATGTTTTTTTTTTTCGTGTTCCTCCATCCGTACGCGTATGCCCCGCACGTGTAATCATTTCAGTCTCCCACCCAATGTGCTGACTGGTGAACTGCTGAACGCGCTAAGGGAATACATTGCCACAGTGATCACGTGCAAGTTATCAAGCATGTGTTTTTTCTCTTTTGCCCAATGAGAAAAGAACCTTAACTGATTATGGGAAAAGAAAAAAAAAACGATTAAAACAATTCTGCTTGGTGTTGTGAAAACCTCCTCCACCCACTCATCAGCTTAAATGGGAAAGGCAAATGTGACAAGCCCTTATTTGTTCTCCCTGGATGAATCTGCAACAGGAAAAAAAAAGAAGAAAAAGAAAGATACACATTCGGGAAGGGAGAAAATGGCTTTGATAATATAGGGAGATTTAAGCCTGCTAACGTAGGACCCTTTCGTTTATATGCTTAATTTTGCTACCCTCTGTGCCGCTTCGTAGTTATGGCCATAGTGTGAGATTCTCTTTTCCGAGGTAAAGAAGGTGCAACCTTAATCGAGTGTCCTCCTTGCACATCCAAAACATGGGGGATGGGCATCCCCTGACATAATTGTCTTCGCCAAATGGTAATTTTTATATGTACGAAACAATTTACAAAACGATTGTAGAGTTTTTTTTTTAAAAAAATTAATTCAAAAGGGGAGATAATATTATCTCCTAAGGTAGGGCCTCTCAGAGCGATGTCAAAGGAGGGGTGGTGGGGGACTGGGCACAATGGGAAAGAGGACGTGTAGGAGCGGTGCTGTGAAGGGGAAGAAAAAAACGGACACAGGAGGCATCCCTGTGGCAACGTAAGGGGCATCCTTGTGTACCCATTCAGACACAACACAGATCAAACAAAACAGTGGAATGAGAGCGCTCCCCACTGCGCCACGCATTACCACGCCGTGTGTATTGATGCAACCAGTGAGCCGGCAAAGGGAGGGACGGGACGCCAGTGAAAGGCTCGCCCACTTCTGAGGAAATATCGAATTGCCAAAAAAGACAGGTGCACTAATTGATCAAGCGGCGCACACTTCTAAATGCTGATTCGGCGTGTGTGTACCCGACGTGTACACATCTCAGCCAATTTCAGGTTAATTTCTCCAGTGGAAGCAGATTCATGTGCTCATCTAGGTTCTCCTTGCTTAGACTTAGCTCCTAACAGCGTGGAAAAAAAAAAAAAAAAAAAAATCGAAACAGTCAACGGGGTCACTGCACGGGGAGCAAAGCAGACTAGGCGAAACACATGACCGCTTCTTTAAGAGTGCCACTCGTTCTCCCCTTTTGTGCACCCCGCCGTCATCATTTCCGCGCTTACGTCTAGGCGGTCCAGGTAGCTGATCCGCTTGAAGAAAATTCGATATACGAATGAAAGGGAGTACATCACTGAGGGGTGGCAAAAGGGGGGGAAGCATTTAGAAAAACCATTGTGCTGAAATTAGGAACAAAGCAAGTGTACATTCAGGTGTAGGCCCAGTCAGCTTGGGTGAGGAACACAAGAATAGGGGAAGGAGAATTCCCCCTCATGGGTTCTCTCCTCCGTCCGCTCCTCGTTAAGTACGTATGAACATCCAGTTGGAGAAAAAATAGCTGTTTGCAAAGTATGGTATCCCTGAGAAAAAAAAAAAAAAAAAAAGTAGAAAAGTCGCAACTACGAGTGCGCTCTGGTATGTTCGCTTATGCAGACATGAGCATACACCTATGGCAGATTTGTCAGCTATGCTTAATCATTTCCGCTTCCTCAAGTGGCACTCCAGGGAAAATACTAAACATGGGTCTACAGTCGCTGAGTCTCGCCCCTCAGCAAACACATTGACGCGGTTCAAACGATGGGGCTTCGATTTCCTGCGCCTCTGTCTTACCAAAAAATATTTTATTAAAAAACACGGACAGCACGGACATCTTGCAAACATTCTTATCCGTCTTTAGGGAGCACTTTATAAACACAGGGGTGTCCTGCAAAAATGGAAACCATTTTTTTTTTTTCTCGTTCTAGAGGAGTCGCACTGAGTCTGCGAAATATACTAAGTGACGAAATGTAAAAATGGCCTAATTCGTACGTCCACGGGAAGGCGCAACTTTCCTTTTTTCTTTTTTTCTTTCTCTCTGTCACGGACGTTTATTCGTATCCTTTGTATTCCATACGTTACGTAATTGGGGGCAATCTGCAGGGCGAGAGAAGCACGCAAGGAGGAAGGTCAAGAAAAGGAGACGCATGTGCGGTACTTCCATGGAGAGACCTCCCATGTAGAGACCTACGAATGGGTGCAGGCTCCCCTTCCTGTGGCCCTCCACCTCCTCCTTCCACCTTACCGTTAATAACGTCATTATGAGCACCAAGATGATGTGGATAATCACAAAACACACGACTAGCATGGTCTAACGCGGGAGGGGGCAAAAGCAATGCGATGAACCTTATTCACCGCAGCTAACACAGCAGACAGGGTTGGAGCACTGCCGTTAACACAGAAGACAATAATCCATCGAGAGGATTACCTCGGGGGAAGACCTCCTCGTCTTCAATTTATAAAGAGGAATGAAACAAACTCGAATTCCAACATTTACAATTCCGTACAGAGAGCAACAGAAGATATATATCGCCAAACTTGCAATGATGAAAATATCCATCGGGAAAAACTGCGCAGGGGGAGAAGTTCCCATAAGGGGAGTGAAATGATTACGTGCTTAGATGCAATTGTGATATCTTCTGTCCCTTTGGAGGGGCGGGCTACTTCTCCGCATCTCTTCGCTCAGGCCCACAGGAACCAGCTCGTCCAATGGTCGTTCTAAATGGCGGATTCACCCTAATATAGAACTAACCCGAGAAAACAGGATCAGAGAAGCGTCAAGCAAATTAAAAATGCTGTTTATTTTCTCCAATACAAAACCGCACTTGTAGGCACAGACGGAATTGAAATACTGCAGGTATGGTGAAAAGAAGGTGTGTATTTCGCGTTGTGAGTAGGTACACATGGCACAGCTTCTCGGGAGTCCCTTCACTAACGACGGGGTAGACTACTCGTCTCTTTTACCTTATCCGTTATCGATGCTAACAATGATATGTATATTACAAATGAGAAGGTTAGAAATACCAGCCCAGTTATAACCCTGAGGGGAATGGCATGGAGAATAAAGTGCACATTAATGCGATGGGTTGGTATGGCGCGAAGTTGCATAGGACAGCGCGGCATAGTTCGGCGTGGAATGGCGTTACGCCCATGTATGCACATGGGGGAGTGAACTGGTGGTGATACCCCCCACGCGCAGAAGCTTTCCCTATTTTTTTTTGTAAAACCTGCAGGTGAGCATAATCCCTATGACATAGGATAGCCACGACTCGGACGTCTTCTCAATCTCTTGCAGTTTGTAGTTGTATCTACTGAGGGCCCTGTGATATTGGGAATAGCGACATGTCAACAGGTGTGTGGAATCTTTGGCAGGGATCTCCTTGGGAAGAGAAGCAGTTTAGACAGAGGGAACAATTCAGGGCGATCCTCCTTCTGCTGGCATGTTAGGATATCTTCCCTCTTGTTAGTAGCAACCCTAGAGGTAGACGCACCATGGACGCTCTCATGTGGACGTGTAAGTACTCACCTCTGCATTTTCTCTATCCTAAGAATTTCATATTTGTCGCTCCCACGTATTTCGCTGGGGGCTCTGTATTTATGCTGCGATAAGAACAAAGGGCATTAGGCATTTGGAGAAGGGTCGTCAGGCAGCACGGGAGCCTGCAGTAGCCCTGGAGTGGCAACGCTATAGTAATAACCCTAGAGTGATAAATCTAGAATAATAACCCTAGAGTAGTAATTCTATAGTGATAACCCTAGAGTAATAATCCTAGAGTGATATCTCCAACGGGATGGCGTCCTGTCCACCAGTGCCGCCTACCTTTATCATGATTTCCTTCTCCTTCAAATTTGCAAAGCGAGTCTCTATCTCCTTCTTATCATGGTCGATATTTTTCTGTTGCAGAAACGATAGGGGTAGACAGGCGATGCCGTAACTCTGCGGGTGTTGGGGGGAAGGTCACGAACGACGTGTAGGATAACGCACGTGGAGAATCACCCAGGAGAGCGCTCAACTGGGTGATGGCTCAACCGAGTGATGGCTCTGCTGGGTGGTCATGGGTCTGCTTATGTACCCCGACCACTTCGCAGCAACGCAATTCTGTCCCCATCTCCTTCATTACCGTGTATGTGACCCAAAAGGAAACACCAATCAGGACAACGCACCCCATGAGAAATAAGATTGCCGACTCCCCCGCTGTAAAAGGGGTTGAAAAATTGGTGAAGTTTTTCGTCACCACGAACTTGCCATTCCGCAACACTTAATAAGGGCATGTTATTAGTTTTGTCCCCTTTTGTGTAGTTAATTGTCCCATCCATCCGTCTATCCTTTTTTTTTTTTTTAAAAAACTTTCGTTCTCTAACTGTGTTTCATATCTAGGAGGTCCGAAATATACTCCAGTTCTTTTCCCTTTTCCTGTTTGGTAATTCATGCGCAAAGGGGCAGAAAAAAAGAAAATAGTGATTATATAATTAGGGATGTATAAGCAGTTACGAATACACATGCTCATGCTGCATGAGCTTGTGAATCCATCCTTTGATGCTGATCATTGAGGCGGGCGTCTCCTAAAGAGGCATCTACAGCTTCCCCATTTCAGTGGCGCAAAAAAAGCCCAGTTTCGCTCAGGCGTACCATTGCGAGTTTGTGGCCTGGTCTGTAAACTAGGCCAATTATGGACAGCGCCACTATAAGGCATATAAAGTATATCTGCGGAGGGGTGAAAGTTATGTGAGCGTCTGTTGTGCTGCCGACAAGTTGGGCTATCCACCTGAGGACGATCATTCCTTTCCCTTTATTTTTACCGTTTTTTTGAAAGACTCAATCACATTTTCGCACGGCACTATGTTGTCATCGAATTCGTTTCGGTAGTAGCCTGCACAAGTGAAAAAAAAAAAAAATGCACACATATGCGGCACGTATGCATGTACATATATGTGCGCCTCTATCGCTACCGTCCGTGCTTCGCGAAGCCGTGGGCACTCCCGTCAGTACGCTTATTCTTCACGTAGAAGTAGGAGAACGGAACCAGGATGTAGGCTTCGAAAATTAACGCCCAGAAAATGACTGCAGGGGGGGGAAAGGGCCATTTCAATGATCCTAGGAAGGCAAACATGAGCAGTTCTACCAATATTGCCAATACTTCCAATGATGCCAATACTGCTAATGCTGTGATTTCTCTTTTGTGTAGCTCCTGCAGTGCGGAGGCCCAACTGCGAAACGCGCCGTCAAGGGGGGGAGACTAACAGTGGTAGAACTTGGACACGAGCCTTTGGGTTATTTCCAAGTCTGAGATTTCTATGTCCTTAAAGAATGACGCGTGGACAAAAGGGGGGAAAGAACAAATGTAAGAAGTTTACTGAAACAGTTTAAAAGGACGCCGCGTAGACAAAATGGGGTGGAGCAACCAATGTAAGAAGCTGACTCAAAGAGTTGCAAACAAAGTGGCACTTTTACTTTTCCCCTTCTTTTCTTCGCCTTTAAGAGGAAGTACTTACCCCATTGGACACCAGGTATATGTCCACAGGTATGAACAAGACAAGGATGAAACTTGTGCTAAGGGACAGAACAAAAGTTGCCGCCGTTAAGAACGTCGACTCGTCTGCCTTCACGAAATGTCTGTAAAACGCCCCGCATGATGTGAATATTAACTGAGAAGAAATTGTTCACGGAAAAAAAGGTAAATTGGCTAGTTGTTTGTGCTATTGGATTGGTAGCGACCATCTCGGGGGGGGGATCCTCCCCACCACGGGTTACTGAGCGCTATACAGACGAATGCAGCAAACAGAAGGATATATAACTGCATGAACACGCATGTGTGGGCCATATCTTCAGGTGTTTATCTTCACCCCACATGGAGAAAGGCACAGTTAACTAACTAGAATTAAAGCCGTAAAAGTGCAGGAGGTAAGCAAATCCATCAGAAGACAACTTTATCCTCGTTTTTTTTTTCTCTCTCTCTTTCACTATGATGTGCACATGTAATATTTTTGCAACCCCAGTTTGTCCCTTCTTTTCTTTTTCTCTCTTTTTTTAAATGGCTTGACTATGGAAGGAAGCTTGCATGGTCAAAAAATGTGCAATCCAAAAAAGGAAAAAAAAAAAAATATTGCCGTTTGTGAATTACCAAAAGGGGTGATAATTTTCCCTCACCGATTCGGACTTTTTTTTTCATCCCCTTTTGGGTATCCTTTTCTTCGATACGCGCGAGATTCTAAAGATGGGGACACCCAAAAGAGTACTATTTTAGGAGGACGACTTTCTATTTCCAGCAAAATTTATCATATGTGGTTCCCTCAGTTTAATGCATCCACAAATTTTCATCCTTTTTCGCAAAGGTGAAAAAATGTACCTACGCAACACAGTGACCATATAACCACGCCAAACGGAAAGAAATGGAGAAGAATCGTTGCGGCACACCTTTCGCGCAATGGAACAGGTGAAGACGAAAAAAAAAAAAAAAAAAAAAGTTATTTGGGACATCACCCCGCTAAGCATATTCAAAATGTACGTGTAACTGGAAGATGCTAAACGGGGCGCTTCATCCACAAGGTCACACCTTTGACACATGCATTGCTGCGTCATCACAAAAAAGTACAAAGCCTTGCTTTCCAAAATTAATGTAACACTACACAAGCTTCCTTTATGTGTGTTGTTTTTCCGCCCGTGGTGATCGGCATGCTTAACGATGGATCATCCCATTACATGTTCAATGAGAAACATGGGCGTTACCATCACCGCGGAAGAAGAAAAAAAAAAAAACGCACATGTACAAACATATATACGTGCGCCATTTTTGCAGCTGTGGTGTGGAGTTCTGTTACACCATCGAAAAGAGCTGCGCTTGGAAAAGCTTTACGTAAGGGTATTGGTGCAACTTTCCGCGTGTGTTTCTTTGCATGATTCCTCCCATGGGGAGACTCCACCAAAAGAATATTCATAAGAATTTCTCTGCTCAGATAAACGGGCGAGAATCGCCCCCTACTGGAGTCCCATTTTCCATTGTTATGCTTACAGCTCCCACTTCTACTAGCAATTCGGAAGACCCTTTTCTTGTATGGCGTCTGCAAGTAAGTTCCGCGATGTAATAAAAGTGGTACTGTATCACGCATGTAGGGTAAAAAGAAAAAAAATACCCCCCCACCTATCTCGCAAATACAACCGCAGCCACCTCGCAAAGCCATCCAACTAGTAGTCTATTTCAAAGGATATTATTTTTGTGGAGTAGCCCTCGTAATGTGTGAAGTCATCTCTGCTTATTCTGTTGTCGACTTTCATGTTTCTGCTCAGGTGATCGTACGACAGTTCATAATTCGACAGGCCGCTTTTCTTTTTAAGGCTGTCTGGTTCCTTGAAAAACAAGTTCGTCCCGATGCTGGACGTGTGAATACCCTTAAATTTGTATTTATTGTTTATTATGCATTCGGGGCACTCGCCGAATAAGTTACTTATGGAGATGGTGTCGATGTCGAATGGGATGTTATCAACTTGGTTCCCACGCTCGTGCTTCCCGTCAGCGTCCTTTGGGTGATCGTTATTTTGGGGTCCTTCATTTTTCTGCCCCCCATTTTTTGGCACCTCATTTTTTTGCACCTCATTTTTTTGCCGCTGATTTTTTTGCCGCTGATTTTTTTGCCCCCCATCTTTGTTCTTCCCGCCTTGCGAGTTCCCCCGCGGCGATGGCGCCCCTTCCATTGCGTCCGCCCGAACAGACCTTCCCATTTCCTCCGAGCCATCCGAGCTTATGAGGATATCCCCCAGGAGTCCTTGTTCCTCATCATTCGTTAAGTCAATATTTATACTCTTCTGACTCCCCAATCGGTTATCCTTCGCAGCAGCGTTGCGGCTCCCCTTTGAATGATTTTCCTTTTTCTTCACCCCCCATCGTTCATTCTCGATGTAAATTTGATCTCCTTTTTTCTTTCGATAAATGTTGAGATTTTTCAATTTTCGTTCATCACTGTTTAACTGTGGCAGGTTTAGCATCACCAGGGTTTCCTCCACCGTACTGTCTGAGTGGGCATCCTCGTCACTGCTTTCGCTCATTGTGTGGGGGCAGAATAAAAAATGAGCCCTCCCTCACTAAAAGGGACTAAATCACTGCGGATTCGCGTGTTCTGCTATATTTACACTTCTCGCGTGCACCTTCGCGTTGCGGGGGGTCCCCTAAATGTTGGTGGTTTCCGTGGGGTGAAATATACATTCAATCAGTCATGAGGCTTTATTTGTGAGCCACGTTGCATATATTATTTTTTTTTATTTTTTTTTTTTTATACGCACCAATATCGATCCCAACGTTTGCATGCAACAGTTTGACCGTCTCCAGCGATGCAGGCAACTGCTCCTTTTTGGAGCGGCCAAAAGGGGGACATTCCTCTGCATCATGTAGCCGCGGAAATGGTAATAAAACAGGCGAACATTTTCCACTTCCCTCCATTAGGGTTAACTTTACAAAATAACCGAGGGCGAAAGAGAGGGACGTTGACGATTCCCTTTGCTCAAAAAAGGTTTCCAATGTTAACCAGTAAAGAACACAGAAATCCTGAAGGGGCGTTTCTCCTCTATTCCGTCTCTTTGCAGCCCCCTTTCGTCTCATCTGTCATTGTATGTAAAAGGATCCCTTCGGGGAAAACATGTCCATGCAGGACGGGGGGCACATATGTATATACACATGCTCAGTCGATCCCAAAGGTGTGGGGGGAGGGGTAGCCATTTGTAAACACCCCACAAAATTGTAACCACAGTGTGGCAAAAAAAAAAAAAAAATATATATATATATTTGTGGATGGAATAAAACTGTTTCACAAGAAAAACCCAGTGGAAAAAAGGAACCTAAACCCCCTCTTTGGGCTTTTAACGAACGCGAAAATTTTGCCGTTTTGATGACGACCATTTGTGTTATTCGGCTTGGCGCAAAAAAGATGATAAAACGGACATGGAAAACAAGACACCCTCTCTTTGTGATTTTATGTACTACTCCCCCTGCGATGTAGGATGTGTCCACACCGATGTGTCCGTTTTGTGCAGACACCTTCGCATCCATTCCTCCTTTTTCCTCCGCCAAGGAGATAACCTCTCGACGTTTCGCAAAAGGGGGTTGTCCTAATGTGTGTCGGAGTACCACTGACGGGGAAGCGCGCGCAGCGGGTAGTCAAGGGGAAACGCAAAGACGAAAAAAGGGGAAATACGAAAAGGGAAAATGCGAAAAGGGAAAAGAAGGCACGGCAGGACCCCTTACACAAATAGAAGCTCCTATTGCACCAAAATGATGGAAAGACACGACTAGTTCCAACAGGGCCATTAAAGTGCATTAACCTGCAACTAGGGTTAATCCCCACATAGAGTGCATGTGAGGAACTCCTTAAGCTCGAACGTATGCGCAGGCTTGTTCTAATTGGGGGAAAAAAAGAAAACATTTGCTAAGTTAAAATCGAGATACTCGTTCCAGTCATCGGCCTGATGCAGGGCATGGACTCATCCCGAGGTAGATAAGAAGCGACACCCCGGTTGGATCCCTCGTTAAAAATATTTTCAGTTCAAATGTTTTTCTCCTCTATAAGCGTTTCCCCGAATGTACACCAAAGTCCTTTTTTTTTCCGCCTCCTTTTTGGCTAGCTCGAAATGGTACTTTTTTTTTTTTTTTTATCCACACTGTTTTGCCAATATGTACAGGCGAAAAGAGGGTGATCACAAATTGAAGGATAAAAAAATGTGTTCGGAAGGTCACGTAAGAGGTATATGTAGCAATCCCCTCTGGGTAAAACAAAAGCCTTATTAATATGGCAACACAACGGGAGGAGGCATCATCATAGCAATAAGAAAAAAAAAAAAAGGCCGATGAGAACAGTTGCATTGGCACATTAATTCGACGCTATTCCCATATTCACGTTTCGTTTGCTCTGCCATTTGACCAGTTCTTCACTTTTTTTGCCACCGAAAGTGGGAGGGAGCGTATGACTCACTGCCCAAGTTGCCCACTGACAACCACCGATCGACCGCTACCAAAACAGATGTTGTACTTGTGTGGAGTTGTTCTCACCAGTTGCAAGTTCATTTTAAAGAAAAAAAAAAGAAAAAAATTATTCATTTTGAAGCTCCCCTTAGTGGTCATAACTTCCTTACGAGTCCTGAACTAAACGAAAGAGGTTAAAAAGTTATGTTCGCTTTTTTCGTTGTATATATGTGCCCAGGGAGGGGGTCCATAAGAGAGTTGCATATATATTATGGTGACTCCACGTTACGTATACGGACGTACAGACGTGCGAAAAAAAATAACATCCTCGCGAATATCTTCGAAGCAAAAATATGGACTAGGATCTCGTCGAAAATCAGAAAAGTGTGGCTCGAGACGCTCTCATCTTATTCACGTGAACATATCGAAACATGCATGTATAAGCGGCAAGTGTATATATATGTATACGTGCGTACACGTACATATTATGCGCGCAAATATGCCTATAAAATGTGCCCGTTAAGCACATCCACCCCCGCGTAACTGGGCACATATATCGCCAAGGCAACAGAAGAACTCGCAAATGTGATTCAGCAAGCGCCAAAGGATAGGCACATCTATATGGAACAAAATATACATGCGCATAATTTTTTGTTTTTTTGCTCGCTACCGTTTCGGTTGTTTAGATTGAACAGGCGCCTGTTGCTGCGTTAGGGCATAGAAAAGAGGGTTAAAAAATAAAAAAAAGCAAAATAAAAAAAAAAAAAATAATAAATAAATAAGAAAAAAAGCAAAATGATCTAAAAAAATAATATAACAAAATAATAAAACAAAATAAAAGTTCGCTCTAAACCTTCGTTTAAGCGAAAAGTACAACAAAATCAACTGTTTTCAAGTTGCATCTGCTCGAAACTGCTTGGTGTCAGAATTGTTCTGAGCCTACTTCCATATGCCCATGTTGTATATATAAAAATGTACCCACGTATGTGGGCAGGGGCACACGCGGCTAACCTGTGCATAGTCAATCTCAACTGGTGCATCATGTTTTCTTATAGCTGAGTAGTTGTGACATCGGCGCGCGGCTGCAAGCGGACCTGCTAGATGCAATAGCTTTTCCGCTCCCGAAGGAGTTGCTGTGTTTGCTGGTCAT